AACTAGACAAGCCCAGTCAGCACATCCTTTCGTTGTCAACCTCGAAAGATGTCGATCAGCACTTTATCAAAACTCCTTCATCCATAGAACGCTTAGGCTTTGGAATTCATTGCATAAGGAAGTATTCCCAACAACATATAATCTCCAGAAGTTCAAAAACAATTCCAATACCTACCTCCTGTACTTATCCTCCCTAGGAACGTTCTCTGAACATTATAGGGATTTCCTTTCGTGCGCTCCAAGCGATAAAAAAAAACATAATCCAACGTCAGGCAACATTGCAAGGGTGATTGACAATTTTGGTGCTTCTGTCTTCGCCGGAAGCAAATACTTTGGTTTTGGCATTCATTAATGAAATAAACACCTATTCTGGCAATAATTGTCTTTATGATTTGACTTTTTGATACTCTTCACTGAGAGAAGTCGACAAACAAATGTGTGAGTTATCTGGATTGTGGATTGAATTCAATTGGTCCAAGAGATTTCTGAAACCTTTTTAAACAAACCGTGGATATTTCATAGAAATCGGTGAAATATATTGTTGAGCACAATTTCCTCTAGACCTTCCTCACTAGAAGTCTGAGATACCCTATATACTGTGATAATTGCTATATCAACCAGGTTTAAACTATAGTAAACATTATTTTTTCTGTGACGGGAAAAAAGTTTGGCATTTCATCTCTGTTGGCAGGTTATAAAATGTCACTTTTCATAAATTACTTTTTTCCCGTGGGAAAAAAGTGAGTACTTCTTTCCCGGATATATATCACATATATATACTCTGTTAATGGCTTTTGTTGTGCTATAGTTCCGAAAAATGAGTCAATAATACCGTCTCCGAGAAAGAACTGCAAGTCCTTTTATCTTCCATTCGACTTCGCGGTTTCGTATATTACTAAACAACTACTGAATTCGCAATTTTTCAAAATCAAATCACAGAATTGAACTGACAGAAGTGACATCAGATATTTGATTACTTCAAAATAATAATAAAGATGCCTATAAAACGCAGGTGTCCCTACTGTTAAAAACTTGAAATTTCACGTCGATAATTTTCAGATTACGAAATAATGTAATATCTTCTCAATATTGATTCATCCTTCCTTCTGTCACAGAAAAAAATAGTGTATTATACACGGGAAAAATATTAGATTTTAGCTCACGGTTTTTTGTCTCCCTCCGCTACGCGTCGGGAGACAACACAACCTGGAGCTAAAATCTACAACTTTTTTCCCTTGTATAATAAATAACTATTTTTCTGTGACGGGAAAAAAGTTTGGCATTTCATCTCTGTTGGCAGGTTATAAAATGTCACTTTTCATAAATTACTTTTTTCCCGTGGGAAAAAAGTGAGTACTTCTTTCCCGGATATATATCACATATATATACTCTGTTAATGGCTTTTGTTGTGCTATAGTTCCGAAAAATGAGTCAATAATACCGTCTCCGAGAAAGAACTGCAAGTCCTTTTATCTTCCATTCGACTTCGCGGTTTCGTATATTACTAAACAACTACTGAATTCGCAATTTTTCAAAATCAAATCACAGAATTGAACTGACAGAAGTGACATCAGATATTTGATTACTTCAAAATAATAATAAAGATGCCTATAAAACGCAGGTGTCCCTACTGTTAAAAACTTGAAATTTCACGTCGATAATTTTCAGATTACGAAATAATGTAATATCTTCTCAATATTGATTCGTCCTTCCTTCTGTCACAGAAAAAAATAGTGTATTATACACGGGAAAAATATTAGATTTTAGCTCACGGTTTTTTGTCTCCCTCCGCTACGCGTCGGGAGACAACACAACCTGGAGCTAAAATCTACAACTTTTTTCCCTTGTATAATAAATAACTATTTCTCTGTCACTTTATTACACATTACGTCCTGGAACCTGGAAGGCAATATAAATGCCTAGCAGGAGAATCAATTATCTGGGTCTTGACGAAACACATTTCACTGGATATGAAGCCAGCACTGGGACAATGTGATCCAATCGTAGCTCAAAAATGGGACGGTCATTGTCCCTCTAGTATGCTGCGAATGAAGCATGGTCTGATAAATCTCTCTACTGAAGTTCATACAATTCATGATGATCGATTTTCATGGAGATGATGTGATATCCTGGAGATCCCAACAAAAGCTCTTCCTTTCTCATTTTATCATTGGGTATTGCCATACCGAAAAATGTAAAGAATCGAAATGGAAAAATATCGGCGAAGTGTAACTGACAAAACTCAAGAAATATACAGTATCTGAAATTGATTTATTCTTTCTGACTTAATATGGGATGATAATGAAAAATAGAACATCGATGCCACTTTCAACAAAATCTAGGCCTCAGAGCATGAAAATCGTCTGAATCATAAAAAAATTCCTAGAATAGTTATTTTTGTATTGTGCGTAAAATTAGTGTACAGGGTGGGCAAAATTGGGCGTATTAACTCGCTATCTCAATAAATGAAGAAGTTATCGGAAAACCGATATACATTTTACGGGTTCAATTCTAGAGAAACCTAAGATAGCGCGATTAGAAGTTTGATATCTGCATTTGTTTCAGAGATACAGGGGGGAATTGAAAAATGGCCGATTCCGTTTTCATTTTCTGAGTACTTCATGGCGAGAAATATTGGAAACGTTCAAACCACAAATCATGAAGTATGACGCGTAAAATATATTGGCATCATTAGAAATGTTGTACAAAATGACATTCCAATGATACGGCCACCAATTATGTTTTTTTGACACAGTTGGATAGACCCCAGACGTTTCAATTTCAAGTATATATACAACCTCATCTCCTTTATCCACAATTCCAGAAATATTCGCGAAAAAATATATCCAGTGTCACATCCCAGGCAACCAGATGACGAATGATCACGTCACTGTGACGTCCCTAATTGGTGATTTTCCGTCAGAGACGTCACACACCAATTTATGACGTCACTATGACGTACTTTCTATGACGTGATGATCACGTCATCGTTTCGATGTCGAGTGGACGTCACTTAGATGGGTAAAAGAAGACGTCATTTTCATGACGTTACAGGGACGTCCTGTCGACGTCTATTTTTCCCAGACCTTCTCTAAAGCATGGATACTTATATATTATCATGTGAAACAGAAGTATAACTCATGAAAGCAAATCAACATGCAAGTTCAATACTAATTATTGATATACCCGAAAAGTAGTAGAAAAACTGTTTTCTAAAAAACTTTGACACACACTGAATATCTCGGAAAACAACAAGCTATGTATATATAAAAATGATTGTTTAGGTATACCTATATTGAAACCGTTACTCTTATGACGTTGCAGTGACGTATAAATGACGTCTAAAAATCACGTCGGTGTGACGTACCAATTTGGTGAGCTTCGTCATTTAGGAAATTTTTCAATAATTTGCTATTTGGATTTTTGTTGGATGACAAAGAATGCATCAATATACATTATTCAACAAAGGGAAGTCAAATTCGCCAACATCCTTTCCATTGCTATCAAACTATTCTTTGTTTGCTTACATCTCGCCGACACAAACTACATAATTTTTGATACAAATACGAGTAACTGATTGCATTCTGATGGAGATGCGTACTGATGGATGGCGCTGGTGAATAGGCGATTGAATGAACATGACACAGGAGGGACCCACCATGCAGACTCAACAATGCAATAATCAATATTATATAATGTCATCAGAGGCTAGTGGCGTTTATCACACCATGTTGAAGGAATCTTTTTTACGTATCATCGCCAAATTCAATCGTCATTTTTACGTCATTATGACGTCAGTCGGACGTCACAGTTTGGTTAGTGAATGACGTCAATACGACGTGAGTAATATGACGTCATTGGACTGTGAATCATTCACGTCATTGTCACGTCAATGCGACGTCAACTACTGACGTCACCTTGGTCATTCAAGTGACGTAAAAAAGACGTCACTGGGATGTCTCATGGTTGCACCTTCGTATATTCCGTAATGATCATTGACGTGGATCCAGAAATTCTCAACTGATAGATACCAATTGGGACCATCTCCAGTGATAACACTGCTCGTCAGCAGCCATGAAATCACTGACAGTCGGAAAAATGTTAGGAAAAGGCAGAATAAGGCTTATATAGGTACCAAATTTCGTGATTCTAGGATCAATAATAATTGAAAAAAACTTCAAAGGGCTAGGAATCATTTTCGGACACAAACCTTGCGTTTTTCGCAGTTCTTTGCCACTTTCTTGTGATAATCATATTTTGCATAACTGTTTTCGTTTATGAGATAATGGTCGATTTTGAAAATTCACACTTTTTGGGCCCGCTCCATATCTACACAGTTTCTCAGCGATAATGTCAAACAAATTCCATTTTCCATAGAGAATTCTACGCAAAATCTAGCAGCGCACTCAATTTTTATTTTCGGGGTATGGTTTTGGAGACTTTCTATATTTTTTTAGCTCATTAAATCCTAAATTTTTTTCTTCAAAATGATATACCAGAATCAACCCCAACTTTTGATTTTTCTATAGGGCACCATGTATATTTCGACATTTTGATCAGATGAGATATGGATATAAAATTATATGTTCACCTATCTGTATTGGGGATGCATAACTATTTTGTACTTATCATAGTACAGTGTTGTTCATCAATGTGGTTTTTATTGTTCGTTCCTTTATTTGTTTGTTGTTTTATTTTCACTCTCGCTATTTTCTTTGGTTACGTTTTCCATTGCTTTAGGAACTTATCCATTTCCTTTGTTGAAGAACATTTTTTTCTTTGACATCACAGTATATTTTGATTCATTAATTGACATTCATCTTGCTTATACGTCGAAACCTAACCAAGATACGGGACAGGCTCGAGATGTGATAATTTTCAATTACTCCGCATCTCAAAAATAATCCGAGAGAGATCTGTTCGAAGCATTACTATCGTTCCAGAAAAAAATACTGTTTATATTAATAGTATATTGATTCGTTTTTTCTTCTTATTTTCAGGATATATTCGACTTTATTGTAGACAGCAAGAAAGATTTGAGTAGTAAAAGAATTTGTGGACTCTTCCTGCAGAGCATTGGATGCGATGCTGATGATGAAAATAATTTTAAGTGGACGATAGACATACCTGAGGGAAACACCGTTGATAAATCTGTGGTAATTATATCAAATTATATTTTTTGAGAAATTATACTTGGGAGATAATTATAATGATTTCGAAAAAGAGATGATGTTTAGCATCACCAATCATTCCAGTAAATAATTAGGTTGAATATTCGGAAACAGCGCCGTAAATTTTTCCGGCATAATCTGAGAAATACGTGCTTTCCAAACGGTTGCTCAAGAAATAGCAGTTATATTATATGTAGAAAGTGTGTAAAATGGTACTTTTTTACGAGTAGAAAATGTTGAAGGCAATTCCTATGAGTCGAAAACACTTTACCCACGTGTTACATACAATATTTTTCCTACAACTGTCAAAAACATGAACAACCACATTCAACTCATAATTCGAATAATTTAATTACATTTCGCAATTATATTATAAAGTACATTCACTGATTTCATGTCACTGTATTGATAACACCTGGTTTCTAAGCTCGAAATAGCCAGGCCACCTTCGGCTAATTGATAATAATAATAATAATAATAATAATAATATCATTTATTCATAGAGAAAGGTATAAATACAGTGGACATAATATAAGTTTATGATAAATGATCGATACTCGATAAGTAACTGTTTACTTGTTTCGAGAACAAAAATATACATGATTTAATATAGGTTTTCCTAGCATCTTTCCAGCAAGATTTTAATTTCATAATAATAACAAGAATAATCAACGGACATAGAGTTATAAATAACTATTGCAAATGTTATATCTACAAATTACCAGCATTAACACAAACATTTGAACAAGAGTACAGGTAAATTGAAACTTATAAATAACTAACACAATAACAGTATAACGATATAACACTAATATAACAACATAACGAAATGAAAAGTACCAAGGTAATAAAAATAGTAATAAAGTTCATAATAATAGAAATTGGTCAAGATTTGATTTCAAAAATATTATTGCACCATAATCTTGAATTACCCTGTATGAATTCTTTCAGTTTATATTTAAATTGTCTGAAATTTTGTATAGATTTAACTTCATCAGGAATTGAATTATATGCTTTTGGGGCAAAATAGGAAAAGGACCATTGACAAATAGATTTGGTCATATGTGGAATGAAATGATGATGCCTTTGCCTGGTTTTGTAGCTATGGGTATTTAATCTGGCATGACGTTGATTTTGTTTGTATTTTAGCACAACCTTGAAGTAATATAATTGCCTCAAATCCATGATTTTGCTTTCTTCATATAATTGGTCTGAAGGAAACCTTCGATTTTTACAATGAATTAATTTCAGAAATCTTCTTTGTATTACCTCTAAGGGATTCATGTGTATTTTTAGTGCTCCACCCCATCCGATGATGCCATAGCGTAGGTGGCATTCCACTAGTGCATGATAAAGGGTTTTCACGTAGTTAAGTGACAGGAATTTCTTTAGATATCTGAATTTGTATAGGATTGTCCGTAGTTTTTTTAAGACATAAGAAATATGTATATTCCATTTTAGGTGACAGACAATTGGAATAAATCGCTCATCTCAATCGTGTTCAGCTATGCTATCATACATATGATGCGAGCGTATAATATGATCTATTAAGCGAGGATATTGTGGCGCCATCTTCCCGCTTCCATCTCTATTTTACTGGCTCTCCATACGAAATACGAAGTTAGCCGCCTTGATTTGCTCGCTTGCTGCCTCACTGAATCCTGTAATGGAGCCAATAGATTCGTTGTTGGTGCGCTGTTTTGTTCGTCGAACAAGTATTTTCGAACAAAAATGACGCAAAACCGAAGTGTGTGGCTACACAAAACAGACCTCCTATTGTAATGGATCTATAGAGCTTCCCCACACTACGTGTACATCCGGCGTATAATTTATAAAAAGCAGCAGCAAACTTTATCTAACTTCAGATGTTCACTGGCGGCCATTTCGAAAAATGGCCGCCACGGCCGCTAGAGGGCAGTTGGCTGATGGCTCCACATCAAAATTCGTTCATATTCTACCTCTGTGCCAAATCTGGTGCCTCCATAAAAAAATGCACAACAAAATGGAATATTCTAGCTCAACTGCTGCACTATATACAAGATGTTCCTCACAAACATGCTTATATTCAAGAGGGTGATTCTTCAGCTCATTTTAAGAAAAAAATTTCCGACTAGCGTATGTTTTAAAAGTCTAAACCTTTGAGATACAGATACAGATAGAGTTTTGAAAAAAATAATCAGTTTTTCAAAAATAACTGGGATAATATTGTAGACATCTTTATGAAATTTGGTACATATCTTTTTTGCATCAAGGTGCATTTTTTTATGTATGCAATTCTTCCATTTCTGTACAAGTGGCGGCATGAGGGGAATATGATTATATTATAAGAGATGTATAGAAATTTAACTGGTGCGCTTGCTCCCTATTGAAGGTCGTTTGCAAGATTCTCGATGGCGCCTACTCTGATAAACCTTTGATAAACATACTTGACTTGGGTAAATCTCGCTAAGATCATCCTGGTTACAATCCATATTTACAGGAAACATATTACCGACCGATAAATATTTGGATACGTATATGATTTGGATCAGAGCTGTGAACTGATTCCTGATCAAACGATCGAAACGTCAATATGTCAAAAATATTCTTGAGCTGAAAAAATGGTTATTTCTGAGATTGGGGTCAAGTGTTCGTTAGGGACGTGTTCCGTAGTTTCTAAATTTTGTGTATAATTCCTAATCCACCATAGAAAAAAAAAATATCTGTTCTAGAACAGTATTATTTCAGTGATTTGAAATAATAGCGTGAACTGGTGTGAATAAATTCTAAGGTGAGTACCAGTTACCATATTTGCCTATTATGATTTTCGATATTGGTCTATTTCAATAGTTGATACATTCTTTGTTCTGGTTCTTCAAAGAGGAAATTCATCAGATTTCATGCTTTAAATAGGTTCATGTCATGAAAGAAGTGAAGCTTATTAAAATCGGCTACAAAAAAGATTTCTTGCTTCTATTTCAAATTCAAATTTGAATGGAAATGTTGAGCACATTATTTATTCGACCACAGAACAATGATGGAAATAGATTCATCCCTCACAGAACCAAGGTTTTGAACGATTTTCCGATTAGGGCGCCTCTATCGCAAATACCTGAACCCCACGTCCAAAACTCGCTTGCAATTGTTCCATATCGAGAGTTAGTCTGACGAAACAATTGGAGAGTGAGCCCACCAGTTAAATTTCTATACATCTCTATATTATACTTGAAAGTGAGCAACGAAGAGATGTTACCAGATTTCATACAATGCTATGCAAAGTCATTCAATCTTGTACAACTAATATCCTCTTGTTGATACCCGATAGGACGCTCCGTTTTCGAGAAAAAAATGAGAAAACGAGATCAAACTTCAAATTTTGATGTTACTAAGCTAAGTACTCCATTCAGGGCATTCATTATTGGATATCCACAGTATATAAAATTTTGCACCGTTTCAGTCACATAGCAGAATGAATTTTGCCATCAGGAAAAGCTATACAGGGTGGACAAAAAAGAATCTATGTATGTGTTGAACTTTGATACCCTGTATCTCAAAAGTTAGAAATTTTACGACATACGTCCATATGAAGTCTTATTTTCGAAATGGGTCCAAGAATTGCCCCCTCGGATATCCTTCGACTGTGTCAATCACGAAATTCTCCTCCTTAGAGGTACCCCCCTAAATTTAATGAGGTCTTACTTGAAGAACAGAAAACAGAGTGTTATGATTGATAACAACACATCTGACTTCAAATTTATTGAACATGGCATACCTCAAGGTTCGGTACTCGGACCGTTACTTTTCATCACCTATGTAAACGATCTTTTCTATTATTTATTTCCAAATAGACTAGTCATGTTCGCAGATGACTCTATCTTGATTAATAGCGACTGCAGCATTGCCAATCTACATGCAGCTATAAACAACACTGAAAATCTTGCTGAGGAATGGTTCATCGTTAATAAATTGAAACTGAATCGGGACAAAACACATAAACTGATTTTCTCGAGCAACAGACATCACTGCGAGGGTGGAAGTGCCAAGCTTCTGGGCATATACCTAGACGATTCTCTAAATTGGACGGCTCATATCACTCATATCAGTAACAAAGTTTCTTCATATATTTTTCCACTGAGACAACTCAAAAAAAGCGTTAATGAGAATATTCTCCTGTCCGTTTATCATGCCCTAATCCACTCGCATTTGAGTTATGGAATTATTCTTTGGGGTAATGCTGCTAACGCTATAAAGATTTTCCGTTTGCAGAAGTGGGCAATACGAGTCATTGCTGTTGCAAGCACCCGTCAGCACTGCCAACCGCTATTCATTAAATATTCCATAATGCCTCTGCCATCGCTATAAATATCTTTTATTCGATACTGGAAATCCATAAAGACAAAAGTAAATTTCAGATTCGGAGTGATCATCATGAATACAACACTAGGTCTACTAATCAACTGCAAATTTCAAGATACCGACTTGCAAAATCACAAAAAAATTCCATAAATTTGAAGATCAATAATGTATTTCCAATCAAATTGACCAATACTGACTGCCTTCACTTTAAAAATTTCCTGAGTAAATTCATTGTGAAGCACTGCTTTTATTCAACTGAGGAATTCTCACGAACGCCCTTCTAAACCTAGAAGGAAATTGAATCAGACGTTCACTGTAATTAGATGCTAGCTGATGTGTTGATATTTGGGCTCATGATACTATAATAACTATTCCATGTTGACTCATTTGTTGTTTTTGTTTAACACAACTTTTTTGTTTTTGTGTGTGCTATATTGAATTATTACCTATTTATAAGCACTTGTGCTTGTAGCAATTATAATACTACACAATATATAATCTATTTAATGAACTGTTCAGACATTGAATTATCTCTTGTCTTTCTTAATAATAATATGTATCCATAACAACTTCAAGTTACAAAAATATACAAAGCGAATAATATAAATATAAATGAGTAAACAGCTCTATAGTACCCCCCTCCTAGTGAC